GCTTAATAATTAATAGGCTTTTATTCGAGGAGATTAATTGCCCGTGTGGAGAGCTCTTATATATGGGAGAGATTGGTGAGGCTCATAAAAAAATTGAGTTTAGCCCCACATCAAATAGCTAAAAAAATTGATTGGTGTAGAAATATCTAATGACTGGATCTCACTTGTATGTTAAAGTTTTTGACTTAAAATGGGTTTATTATTTGGTGTATTTTGTTCGACTTTAATCTTTCAAGGTTTACACTCTTTAACAAGTGATATCATATTTGATAGTTCGATTTAGATATAGTGATAATGCCAGTTGTGGTTCCCATCTGTTCGGTGATTTCTGCTATGCTTTAACAAAGTTTAAGAACATGTTTTGTGATGGCTTCTTGTAGTTAAGTAGGTTCTTGGTGCATGAGCTTTTATTTGAATTCAAGTGATGAGCTTTACTGAGTTATCATGTTAGGGAGATTGTTAAGGTATGTGAGGCTTTGAGTTAGTCTCACATTAGATAGTTTGAAAAAATGTTGAGATATAAAATCCAAGCGATTAGCTTTCTCTTATAGGTTTAAATTTTTGGGCTAAAATTATTTGTAACTACTGGTTTATCTAGCTCAATTTTGTACTTCTTGTAGATTATGTTTTCCCTTAAGATGGATCAATCCACAAAATCCATTGAGTTTTTCATTTTAATGATGAATCTACCAACAAACACTTGAGATATACCAAGTCCCGATATATTCTTTAGGATGTTTTTGAGACGGTTTTTATATTATATTTTATAAATTGTTGTCACATTTTGTTTGGCCATAATTTTCTAATTACTTCTATTTTTTTTTAATGATAGCTTTTCTTAACTGTATATGTCCAAAAAATGTGCTTTCTTTTTCTTTACTATTGTGAAAATATTAAAAACTTAGCATGGGACTCTAAAAAGATAGTAACATAATTAAAATTGAGTTTTATGTCAACTGATCGACCAAACGGCCGACCACCCACAACCAGCCAACCGAAGATCTACCAGAAGGACAATGAAATGCTAAACCACTGAAGGTTCGCCAGACGGACCCGCCAGAGTACCGAAGGGCCTTCAGACGATCGAAGGACCGCCGGAGAACTGAAGAACCACCAGACAAACAAATGTCAGCCAGATGCCCAAAGGGCTGACAGACGATTGAAGGTCTAGTAAACGACCGAAGCTCTATCAGACAACCGAAGAACTTCTAGATGACCAAAGGGCCATCCACGCCGATCAGAAATGAGCATCCACCCCAACGACCAGACAAAGCCTCAGGTACACAGAAAGATGTCAAAATCAATTATAAAATACCAAAAGACAATAATTGTAACCCTTATTAGAGTAGGGGGCAGCCATTGAATTTTCCACATTTGGCCCTCTTTCTCTCATGAATAGGGAGCTTATAGCATGTAGGGTGGTGGAGCTTGGGCTCTCCTCTCTTAACCTTTCTCATGTAGAGAGAATTTCTCTCTTCTTCTCAATGTAACCGCTATTTTTAATATATAAAAGAGGCCAAAGCGCTTGGGAATACCCCATTTTGGCCCTCGGGGCCTAGTCCCTGCGCTCTCGCTTTTGCTCTCTTTTCTCTTACCCTTTCTCTCTGTTTCTCCCTCGGTCATCCTACTCTATTCTTTGGGTGTCATCTAACTGACAATCAGATTCAACATCCTGAAATGTGTGGTGAGTGTTGATCATTTTGTCAACAAAAAGAAAAACAACACCAAGAAAAAACTCTTCACAGAGACACTCTTAGCAAGGAGCTTATAATGGAACATGTACAAACAACAGATGTGAGGCCAAAGCGTCATTTCCGTCATCTTCCTAGAGGCTTCGACTAGAAGAAGATTCAGAAGCCGAAAATCACGTTCCCAATGATGTTCAGCGTATACTCAGGGACTCCATCGAGTCCATAAAGCGAGCACTCTGGGATTCCATGTATGATAAAATGTCAGCTAGGAGGCTAATTGAAGAAAAGTCCTGCTTCACGATGCTAGTCGCAGATGAGACCCACTCTCTAATAGTTGAAGCATCAGACCCTCCACCCACTCCCAGGCGGCGGCTGGAATGACATTGGGTTCCGACGAACAATATCCAATGAAAGTAAAACATCAGGTCGCTTCTTGACCCACGAAGATCGTGATCAAGTATGGAAAGCCTCGATCACCCATTTGGTGCATGTTAGAAAGAAGTGCCGCAGTGGCCATTGCCCAAACTCTTTGGTGTATAGTCAAATCATGTCGTTGATTCCAAGCCGCAGTTTTTCTGAGCTCTCTGCGCCTTCGTTTGCTTCCAACAGACACCTATAACGATCGTTGGCCGTAAAACATAACCACCCAGCCAAAAATTGGTCGGGCACTACTGTTTGTCGGCTTTACTGACCAATTGTCGCATACGTATTCTTCCTCTGTCGCGCAGAGTCCATCTCTTTGTCTGACGAGCTCACTAATTGACCACCTGTTGGACCCACACTTATCGCCTGACCAATTGTCGCATACGTATTCTTCCTCTGTCGTGCAGAGTCCATCTCTTCGTCTGACGAGCTCACTAATTGACCACTTGTTGGACTCACACTTATCGCTATGAAGACAAGGAAGATTTACATACATACCACTTGATCCTTATTTGTCCCCTTGGCACCTCGCTAACCAAATGCCGGCCTCTCCTTTTTTTATTGGTGGACATCCAATATAGCACGACATGCCCTCGCCGACATGACAAAGCCAGTGATCCACAACATCTGGTTCTCCCATCCGACCAACCATTGCGTCGGCCGACCACCTCAAGCCAGGTCGGCCACTCGCCAAACAACCATTGAAAATTTGGCGGTGCTTCTCCCAGATCGAACTGAGGGCACGATCACAAGGATACTAATAGGGGAAAACCTAAAATATTAAATAAATAAAAGTATAATATTGAACTATCAATATTACATTTTTACATATATCAATAGTTCAATATTATACTTTTGCTTTCTTCTTTCTTGACCTTTTTCATGTTGAGAGAACTTCTCTCTTCTAAGTGTTATTTTTTATAGCCAAAGAGCCTGAGAGTATCCCGTTTTGGCCTTTAGGACAAGTGTGCGCGTTCTCTCTCTCTTTCTCCTCTTACTCGTTCTCTCTGTTTCTCCTTCGGCCATCCTGCTCTATTCTTTGGGTGTGATCTATATGACAAAAATCGGATTCAACAATAACCAAATCTTCTAGAGTTTGGCGATGGTAAAGCAACCACTCTTTTATTTTTGGAAACAAGTCATCTTTTAAAATTATGCTGTTTTTAAACAGTTATACTAATTTTACATAAATCTATGACGAACTTTTTTTTAAATGCACCAAATAAATATGTTAAAAAAAGCAAACAAAAATGGTCGCAAATGAGTTTTCTAAGGCGCTGTTTGGTGAAGCTTACTGTACGTAATGATTTAAGTTGAATAATAATAATAATAATTATTATTATTATCATACAACTTGAGTTAGCAATGCACCGCCGCACCGGTTGGAGTAAAGAGCCACACCCATGAGAGAGGAGTAGAATGCATGCTTTATCTATAATATCAAATGAGTTAAAAAAAGTGGCAGCATATCATTCATTGATTACATTTTAGCTTTTAAAGAGATCTTCTGCTTTAAGTTTTTTATTTTTTTATTTTTTGACATCGGCCAATGTTTTCTATCCAACAGTCATAATTATGTTTTTATTTTACTCCATTGCTCCATTTGGGTGTCTGAAAATTTTCACTCAACTTTATATTTAGGTATTGTGACGCAGATGACCGTATGCAAGAGGCAGTTAGCTTTTTGGATCTGGGAGATGGTGCTGGGTGGGAACTGCTCCAGGTGAGAGCATTCATTTCTCGTACAAATTGCTTTTTATACCAGGGCTCATTTGATTCATTGGTTGCTTGTAAATTAAAAAATATATATTTTAAGAAAGCGGATAAGGTTAGTGATTACGGTGGTTAATGATCCGATTTCGAGCGGAGCTTGATTCGGCTTGAATGGATTAAGTGCGGCTTGTGACTCGTTATATTCGATTTCGAGTTAGCTTGGTTTGAAATTGAATTGAGCTTGTTCCGGCTCGAAATCAAAACGAGTTGGTTCAAATTGAGTTATTTGGAACCATTCCAGCTCAATATCGGCTCAATCCAGCTCAAAATCAAAAGGAACTGGCTCAACTTGAGTTATTTGGATTCGTTCCAGCTAGTAATTGACTGGTGGCTCGATAAATTTGATTTTATTTAGCAAAAGCACACAAACACATACTTTGAGCCGATCTCGAGCCAGTTCAAGCGGATCCATGTATGACTTGAAATCGACTAAAAAAATCGATCCAAAGTTCAAACTTATAGCTCGACTCGTTTATTCACACACGTGCGCGCGTACTTCGAGAATTTTTTGAGCCTGTTCAAGCGGATCCGTGTATGGCTCGAAATTGGCTAAAAAAATTGTCTAAAGTTTTGGCTAATAGCTCAGCTCATTCCAAGCCAAAAAACTCAAATTGATTTTCGGCATTAACGATGTATGAGCTAAATTCACTGCTCCATTAATGATGCATGAAGGTTAGACTTAATTCTCTAATGTAATTACATGATACATGTAAATTACGAGCCTAAACTTAGGATTCACATATCATAGAATTTTAAATATGTCAATTTTTTCTAATGTAAAAAAGCAAATACGAAAATTAGAACTTATGTGATAATGTAATGATTGATTAAATTCAAAGAAATGAGGGAAATTTTTCAACTACACAATTCACGAGCAATTTTAATTTAATAATTGTAACTAGATTCTTAATTATGCTAAATTTGAATTAAATAAAAACTACCAGTAAATCCATAATAATTTATTTAGAAATTAAATCTAAGAAAGAAGTACCAACGAAATTAGAGCCTCGCACAACAATAAATAGATGAGTTCCCAATAAATAGATGATTCGCACAAGGAATAAAACAACTGACTTGTAATTTATTTTTTTATTCAACTGAAGATATCCAATTAAATGCCTTAAAACTCATCTCTGAATTAGTAGATATTATCATCACATTTGTTCAAGTTCATGATTCAATAATGTCCAAAAATCAAGAATTTAAAACAACAGTATTAGATAGTCTGTAAAATTTTCATGCGTAAGAACCGTGTGTAAAGCAATAATAATATGCACAGAAAGAATAGCCAGTTGTAAAATTCCTAACAAAAATAATTGGAAGATTTGCATACATACCACTCAATTCCTTTGTATTTACATATCTGACACCTAAATTTAAATTTTTACATATATGACATATTACTTGTGCATGAAAACTTGTATTTCATTCTTTTTTTTTAAGTTAAATTTGTGATATTTTTTATGTAATATGAAAATTTTTTAGGTTATATAAACGCAAATGTGCAGGTATTTAATTGCTTCATAATAGGAAGATTTACAAGCATAGTAAGCGTAATAGCAACCTAGAAGCAAGACAAGCTACTTTAAGTCCTTTTAGGTGTGAAAAAGAAATAAGTTTTGAGAGGATTTGTGAGAAGCAATCATATTCCACAAAATAATGAAATTAATAAACTTCATTCTTTTCAAAACTTAATCTTAAACTTGGAGTATCTGAATAAGCTCTAAATTTCTAACTTAAAGCAACCAAATGAGGCCTTAGTATGGTCTGACTCTGATTATAATGCTTATTGATTTGCTTATTGATTCACTATGATGCAGGCAATGCTTAATCGTGATTATCGACAAAGGCCAATTGCTGAAGCAGTGTTAAACCATAGATTTATGACAGGCGCAGTACTTTAAGTTCATGAGATATTGTAAGTTCAAAATATCTTAAGTGTTTTATTTGATTAAGTTCTATGGCTGGAAATAAAAATTTCAACTGTATGAACTGTTGGTCGCTTGGTAGTATTTTAATCAGGGGAATTGTTCTGATTAGGCTTGTGAAAAGGCATTGTAAGTTGTCTATTGAAATAAAAGGAAGCAAACTTTATCCATAAAGCAAAGCCATAGTCTTGTTTTTTACACATTTTTCATTTATAAAGAACTGAAATGACAAATATAAATATATTAAATGACCTGGAAGAAGATAAATATCATACACTTATTCTATTACAGAATTAATCATCAAAATTTTAAAAACAACAAGCGGCCAACTCAGCCAAGAAATTAAGGTTGTCTATTGAAATAAAAGGAAGCAAACTTTATCCCAAGCGGCCAACTCAGCCAAGAAATTAAGTTCTATTGCACACTTGTCTTCACTAAACTGATGGTGGATGTATGGGTGTATGCTTCTGCCCACAAAATAGATTTTTTTGACGCAGCCTGCAGTTATTATACATATTTCTAGCCTCAGATGGGTTTCGATGCTGTACAATATTTTGCAACTCTGCTGCAAGGCCTTTAGAATCTACATTTTGATATATTAGGCAGAGTGTTGTTTGCAGCCTTTGGGACCATAGTGTTCGGATGTACGTCTAACAATCTGCCTACACAAAGCACAGTAGTGTTTTTGGCACGCCCAACAAAAGATGTGGTTGTTTTTCCCTACCTGCACATTTCCAAATAGAAATGAGAACTTTATTCCGAGTTCTTTTTTTTTATTATTATTTTTATATGTAGGGTCCAACCTTGTAAAATTTTATAAATTATATCAGCCATATATCTTGATAGTTTTACAGCACCCATCACTTAAAATCATAACCGCCAAACATAGCAAACTGACCCTTTATAAAGTGCCAGTTTTCAAGGGCTCAGCTATTGCTCCTCTTGAGTTCAAATAAGAGATATGATACAAGATATAGTTCATTGTGCTAACCTTTGCATTAATTTGGCCACAATTTGGACACAAGTTGGCGGCATCAGGATGCAGTTCAGCTTGTATCTGCCCTATAATTTGCCGCGGATTCATATGCTCTTCCCAGGTCGATATCTCTTCATTTGGGAAAAGCTGGCACGCATCCCTGCATTAAAAAATTTCAGATATTTTCATTGAATGCATACATTTTCGGAACTTGCTCTCAAAGATGTAAGAAATTCTTACTTGAAATGATCATATCCGTCAATGATCTTGCAACAATTGTAGCAGAAGTAACTTCCACAATTCGTACAAACCATCTTGTTGCAACCTCCAGTGCGTGATATGGCCATTTTACAGGATGGGCATTGCCTGGCATCGCGAAGTGCTTCCCTGGTACTAAGCATTTCATTTATCTTCTCAAGCTCTTTCTTCCTCTGGTTATCATTTATTTTAGATGAACTTTGGCGTTCCTAAACAAACAATTTGTCAGCTTGATCCTCACCATTGTTATCACCTTTTTCTTGGAAGAGAATATTCAATTGCTATATGAGAGAAGTATCAAAACAGTCCTCCGATCCTTTGCAAGATATCATTTCAGTATTAGAGCCTATAAAAGTGTCAATTTAATTCCCACTTTAATTTATAGGCTGAAATAGTCACCACGGGGACTATTTTAAGACTTTCCTCAATGGTATATTATATGCATAGAAAGTGACTAATGGAAATGAACTAATGCGAATGCAAGGATGCATCTTTTTACCTGCAAAATTAGAAGCTTTGTCTGTGGATCCATACATTTTACCCCTAAATGCCGTCTTTCTCTGCAAAGAGAACAAAAACTGAAGAGACACTTTGAACATTGGGCATGATTATCCTCATCTTCCAAGCATGCTGTTTCACATCGTGGACAATAGACAACATCTGTCATAGAGTCCAATGTTTTCTGTAGTATCAACTCTTCCCACAGCTTATACGTTTCGTCATCGAGCAGCCTTTCTAGTAAGCTAGGAGGAACAAGACCGCCGCATTTTGTATCGGGGCAGAGTAACTTAGTTACAGTTCGTTCTTCTACATGCATCCTAGAATAAGTTTCCATGCACTTGAAACAAAAGAAGTGCTGACAAGGAAGTCTAACAAAGTTGGTTCCTGATAAATCGAAGAAGGTTTTAGAAAAATCATGATGTTATATGATATATTATTCATCTTATAATATATTTGATATGTTGTTATTCAATTTGCTCAGCTGAGATTTTGCATGGTATTGAAATAGATTGTGATTTAAGCGAAAGATTAAGTTCCAGCATATATTTACACGCATCCCTTGTGATAGAAAGCAGTAAATGGCCAAATATAGGGTTCATTTGAGAAAACTGACTGCTGCAAACCCTTGTTTGAGTTATGGACTAGCCGGATTTTGCCACAAGCTCATGCTAACACCATGTCGTGCACGCCACTCCATCATTTGAGCTTAATGTGTAAAGCTGAGTGCTTAAGTCAAAAAAGCTCTAAGCGAAGAAATATAGTAGTAAATGGCGTAGTTAACAACTGCTAATTACTAAATACCATATGCACAAAAAAAAAATTAAAAACACTCGACTCCAAATAGTTGAGAGAAGCATGAAGTTTGATGTAGATTGTGCATGTTTAAGCATATATCTTGATTTTATCCATTCTAGAATAAATAAAGCATGCAATACAGTTCTAAGGTTAAAATTAAGGTTAAAGATTTTCTGAAGTAATTAGAATGACGATGTATGTAAATCACGTAAAGGAATCAAGATTCATTGACCACCACAATCAGATTTCCTCAGATGCAAACACTTCACGAGAGAATTATAACCCAAACAACAAATTATGATTGGAATAAATCCAAAAAAATCACACCTTAAGAAATTAGAAGTTAATCATCACAATCAGATAGTTAGTTGTCATATTAACACAACACTAGGGAGTTAATATACAAATATGCATAAAAATAGAACAAAAGGCAAAATACTAATATAAGAAATCCAAACATAAAAAGAAAATCACATATCTAACTCATAAAATTGTTTATTCAATCAAAATTCATAATTTACACTCCTCAAAACATCTAATTATAATCTCCTCATTCCTAAATCAAGTTATGTTTGGCATAAGAACTAATCAATCTGATACCAAACAAATAACCATCAAAACTAAACTAAAATGCGTAGAAACTAACCTGCATCCTCGTTAAAACAGATTACACACAGCTGCAAATTGTTGAGAAATGCTTCCCTTCTTTTCTCATCGTTGTAGCCAATCATGGAAGCAATGACATGGTCCAGCGAAATACTTCTTGATATTGCACGAATTTCTCTCTTCTCGAACCCATCACATTTGCGAAGCATAACTCCATCCCCAAATCCAATGTGTGAAAGGGAAGAATTTTTCAGCCATTCAACCCATTGGTATAGAACCTCATTCCCCTCTTGTTCCATCAGAATAGTGTCCATGATGCAACATATACTGCAAATCTTTGTCGAGTCTAACCATTGAGAATATACCGTGTAATAGGGGGCATGATGGCTGGGATATGAAAGAGGCAGCAAACAAGTCAGTACGAGTGGGGGTAGATGCTGAACTTTGAATGTGTACAAAAAGCCATCGGAATCATCTTCTGCTAAATTGTCGTCACCTTTTCCTTTGAGCATTGCAGAGACAGTATAATCTTCAGATATTTCATAATGAATCAGGATCTGCATGCAAAATAAAACTAAACCCTTTCCCTTTTTTTTTTTTTTTTTTTTGTTAACCGGGCAGTGAACACATAGAACAGTGCAGTTATGTTAAAAACCTGAAACAATCGTAGGCCATCCATTCTATCAAGAGTTACAACACTGTCTCCATATATTGCCTCCAATGCTAGCATCTACTGATTAGAAGAAATCAATCAGAAGAAAACACGTACAGTGAAACCGGAGATTAAATACATAAAAATATGAAAAAAATGTTGCGGAGATGTTTATTGAAACCGGAGATTAAATACATAAAAATATGAAAAAATGTTGCGGAGATGTTTAGAAAATGCAATTCAATCAATTACAAGGCAAATGGTGAAAAGTACATGCAGGAAACATCTCTTCCAATTTACAGTATAAACAGAAGCACAATGAAATGCACTGCACACCTAGGCAAAGTGCTGCAACAAAACATTGCTCTTTTTCCCAATGAGAAATTCTTCCTTGATATAATGCTTTTGAAGAAAGACATGGGGTTCAAATAGAGGTATTTTTGATGTGATATGAAAGATTTTGATGTTATGAATGTAAAAAATAAAGTTTAGGTGTTAGATATGCAAATACATAGGAATTGGATGGTATGTATGCAAATGGCCCAAAAAGCTAACTTCTAGCAAGTCATGAACGGAAGGACTAACACTACAAAGGCAGCTGCAGAATCTTTCTCTTCTTCCTTTTTCTTTTTTTTTTTCTCCCAGAAAGTACACCACAAAGCTATGGAATTTCTCTCCCCCACTAAATTGGAAAATCAAATTCTGCTCCACCAAGTCAGAATATATCTGTCCTCTAAAATGCCGAAATTTAAAAATTAACATTTCAACCAATCAAAATTCTCCCTTTTTTGCTACAGCCACCCTCTGATACTCACTCACTGAAAATTTTGGGTGGTCGAAATGTAAAATTTTAAGTTTGGAGGTTAAAATATTATGTTTAGTGTTTTGGGTGTTTCGTCTGCACCATAAAGTTTAAAATTCCTGATCCCTAAACCCTAGACCTATCAAAAAAGCTCGCGAATCGGATTCGTTCCTATTCATCATGATAATTATGTATCCAGCTCAATTAACAATGTCTGGTTTGATTATGATAGACTAAAAAATAGCTTGATCATGGTTATGCACACATATTTCAGTAGATTTTATGTTCATGAACACCTCGTATTCAACTCCATAACCTAAAAACACACTAGAAATCACACTATAAATTTTTTGCTTGTTTGAACTCCACACTAAGAATGAGAGCATTACCTCGTCCTCCTGCCGCTGATCGTTGAAGCTTATCTCCTCCCTCGAAATCTGCGGCTCTTCGCCCTCGATTCTGAGCTGTTCCAACCTCCTCAGAGCAGCTTCAATTCCATTATCTTTTGATTTCACGCTTCTCTCACCTCGCTCTCGATCCGGAGAAGAAGATGATCCCTGCTCAAATCTCTTCTGCGTCGAGAACCCCGAATCTTCAACCACGCAACTTCGATTCTCCGACGAATGACTGGCGGCGACCTCTCCGCCCTCCGATTTCTTCGATCCCCTTCGTCCTCCCATGGTCGTCTTCCAGATTTTCGCCGGCGATCAGAATTGTGGGATTTTGTTTTAAACCATAATTTACCGCATAAGGAAACCATAGAATATAGATATTGAACGATAAGACCTGGGCTTTTATTTTACGGGCCGGGCCGAGTTTCAACTAGTGCTGCTCGCAATGTGAAACGATCGTGTCCCCTACTAGGCCACTAGTTATAAAATGTTTTTATAAAATAAATTTCATATCTAAAATCAATTAATTTCTTTTAGGAAGATTGGTTTTTTAGAATTATATTTAGTGAGAAATATTATTGATATCATAGCCTTTAAAATTAATATAAGAATTGCTTTCTATTTTTTTATTTTTATTTTTAATATAATTTTCAATATCAAAGCTTTGTTAGTGCTTCTGATTAGGGCAGTCAATTTGGCTCGTTGTTCTTGAACAACTCATTTTCGGCTCGTTAAGCAACTCGTGTTCGGCTCGTTCGTTAGGCTTAATGAGCCGAACACGAACAAATTTTTAAGCTCAAAATGTAAATGCGCCGAACACGAACTACAATTTGTTCGCTCGTGTTCAACTCGAAATTGCTCAAAAAAAAATTATATAACTTTTTATATAACAATATATTACATATATTATTTATATAATATTATATTATATATATTTATGTCTAAGTTTAAATCATAAAGCTTAATGTGACAATGTGGTTAGTCTCTTCTTTTGTATAGATTTGATCCAAGTTCGAATCCCACACTTTACATATATTTTTCTCAATTTTAGTTTAAGAAACCAATTTCGAGCCAAACACGAACACAAATATTTAAATCGAACCGAACACGAAAACACTGTTCACGAGCTGATTTCAAACACGAGCTATTTCGAACGAGCCGAAAATGAGCCAAGCCTGGGCTCGTTAAGCACGGCTCGTTTACAACCCTACTTCTGATAATAATAAATAAAAACATGAATCACATTGTAGCATTAAATCTATTGGAGTGAGAAGGAATATTTTTCATATTTAATTATAGAAATTCTTTATGTTATATTCTCTTAACTTTGTCGCAAAAAAATTTGTATCTTTTGAGAAACCTTATTGAAATATCAAGATTGAAGATCATAATGTCGAATGTTAATTTAGAAGAAGCTTGAATTTTAATGGCATGGTTGTGGTTCTATTAGGGTTGAAATGTAATGATGTAATAAAATAAAATAAAAAAAATCATTTAAATGAAATGATGTTTCTAATAATATAGTGCTTAAGATATGGAATGATTAAAAAATGACATAAAACATCAACTAAATTAAAAGGGTAACATAATCTTATACCTAGTGAATTCATTTTTAACATGTTTTTTATTTCAAATAGCCGAATGGCTTAAACAAAGTTTGATTAGGTAAAATCTTAATTCTATGAAATCTATATAAAATAATACAAGTAGTTTGTTAGTCATAGCGTTGAAATTTGTTACTTATTATACTTGTGTCAGCATGCTTCATTTTAATGTTAATCTCTTTGTTAACAGCTAGTTGGACTGCTATGTCCTCAAAGAAATCATATATATATATATATATATATACACGAGCATTATGCGAGTCCAATCATCCCTCATGCGCTTAAGAATTCTAGTATCACACCCTACACTCGGGGGGATTCGAACTCCAGACCATAGGGGGCTTACAACTGACAAGTTGATGTCTGACCAATTGATAGCCGCACGCACGCACCTACGCACCCACGCACCCACGCACCCACGCACATACATATATATAAAAATTATTTTTTTTAAAATTTTTTTTTAGTTATACATGTGTGAGTGTATATATGACTCCACTCTTTTACCATTGTAATACCAATATAAATTTGATCATTCAATGACGATGATTATCCTTTTAGTGTGTGTGAGTCTATATATATATATATATAGTTCATAGTATACGCCCCAATGTCTTACCGTTAACTTTTGATTATTTATTTCCTAAGTTCAATTCGTCAAGCTAATTAAGGGTAATTTTTTTATATCAAATTCTATAGATGTGGTTGGTTGAGCATCACCATATAAATAATTCTTTTAGTATTGCTCATAGTTTGGTATATTAAGTTTATATACTAGTTGTAATCATATATTTTTTTGGGTTAGATAGTCATCTCATTTATATTTCATTTTAATTTTATTTTTCCTCTTAGTTAGTTCCATGTTATTCCTTTATTTGTATCAATGGTTGACTTTTTATAAAATTAAATAAAATTTATTTTATTTATTTATTCTTATTATTTATATTGGTTATATATGAATTTTTTTTTAGTGATTACAAAATTAATTTATATAGCTGGTATCATGTCCCATGTTGTTGGAGTGTGTTGTATTATAGACCCAAGATATAATAATATTCTCACTATTGTTTATCATTATCCAGAACAATATCAAAAGATTTCTTTTATCATTTTCTTCAGTGCAACTTCTAAAGGAAAAATAATCTCATCATCTTCTATTGTCTCCATGTCTTAATGTGATGCTCCATCACCTTCTTTAAGATACCCAACCTTCAACAATGATCATGCTGACTACTTGTATTCATCAAGTCATCCTTCTCGTCCCACTTATCCATGTTCTATAAGGCATGCTAACGTCTCGTTTATGTAGATGATTAGCTTAATCTAATGCATCTACATCAATCATTTGCTTTGTCAAAGCCAAGGATTCTATTTCTACTTTCTTACTATTTATGCCTTCTTTAAGATTAGGGAAAAAAAACATAATTTTTATTTCAAAAGTATTACTAGTGAAAGTTGTTTCAATTGTTTAGATCTTGTGATTTTCTTACACTTCTATTTATTTTATTTAAAAGAGATCCCTCTTTTATGTGATATTTATAGTATATTATATAATATTTTTAATGCCCATTTCATTTGTATATTTACATGGCTTCTTCATTCCATGATCTCTTTTTCACATGTATAGTATATTTATTATTATTATAATAATTATTATTATCATTATCATTACTATAAAAAGTATAATATTTATTTTTATTAATGTTCACTTTTGGAAGACCCACCCTATAACTTAAAATTAGGTATTTTCCCCACCAATGTAAGTGTTCATACAACTTTTCTACATTGATTGATTCATCATAATTTAATAAAATATCTTTTAGGAATATAATCGAGTAGCTCTACCTACCATATATTAATATACACCCAAATTGCCATACAAATTATTTGCCACGACCAAAGTATTCCCCCAAATCTGACCTAACATTGTCCCTACTCCATGCCCCAAGTAATTCTTACGTTCTACCTACCGTATATTAATATACACCCAAATTGCCATACAAATTATTTGCCAATTCAACCAACCGACCAAAGTTTTCCCCCAAATCTAACCTAACATTGTCCCAATTCAATGCCCCAAATAATTCTTACGCGATTCGCATCACCGTCCATTTTCGATCAAGCGGCGATGAACGATTTGAATTCAGTCGCAATCATGCTCTGCAGCGCAATGGAACTGCATATGAGAAAATCCTATGCAATGTTGATGAACAGGATAAAAAAGTATAAGCTGTTTGAATCCCTACGATTTTCTTTGAGATGGGTTTTTTTTGCTCCAGATTTCTTTATTTTCCTCTTAATTTGGAGACTTGTTATGTATTTACATATTTAATACCCAAATCTTCTTATCATATTAAAACTATCATCATTTTAAAATTTTTAAAAACTGAAATATATATATATATATTTTTTTTGCCTTTAAGGTGATATGTGACGTGAATACATAGAACTTGAGTAATCTGTATGGCTATAAACGAGCCGAGTTTGAGCGAGCTCAGACTTGCCTCGTGTTGAGCTCGTTTAAAATTAATTATGTTCAAAATTAGCTCGTGTTCGCAGTTACACGTGATCGTGATCAGAGCTTTTGTGTTAGACACGATTTACATATTCGTGTTCGAGTTCGTCTCGAAATTGACTCTTTTAAATTAATCAGAAAAACTGATGGAGAGTTAGATTTGAAGTTGCATCATTCATATGCAATAAAAAGTGCAAAACCACATGGTCACCCAAACTATGACTATTTAAATATAAATATAGATAAGTATAATTTTTATTATATAAATAATATATATAATTTCTCTATTTCGAATTAAAACGAGTGGAATAAAATCTAACAAAGGGTTGTGCGTGCTCAACTCGTTTATACTTTGAGTTTAAGAGTTTATTCGTGTTCAGCTTGCTAACTTAACGAACGATTTGAACTTAAGCTACTTAATGAGTCGAACACGAATTGTAAATATTTTTTAATAAAAAAGGATGGCTAACTTAAATTTCACATATTTTTTTAATCATTGAAACTAATTAACTAAAATTAATGGGCAGAATTTGTATTGAGGCCAAAATATTAAAAATAATACGATTTCAGCACATGAGCATCATCATTCAGGAAATAATTGTTTTAATTATTTTTGTTTTTATTTATTTATATTTTTGTTCCTGAAATAATTGTTTGAAGGTTTTGAATTGATGGCTTGTGATTGAAAATGAGGAATCTCAAGAAGATTATTTACATATAAAGATAACTGCTTAGTATATATATGCTGACAGTGAGTTAGGATTGGGGCATATTCCTCCAATAAAATAAAAATGTAGCATATTTCTTTAATATCAAGAATTATGAGGCACATAGAGTCAAATTTCCTAAGAAATTAAAGGTGAAGAGTTAAATATTCTTTTATTAAAATATATATATATATTTATAAAGAGCACAAAGGCTCCAATTTATTACCACAAGAAAAGCATTATAAAGAAAGAGGGATAAGGAACCCAACCTAAGCCCTATACAACTTACTCAGATAAAAGAAAGAGGTTCCTAAATAAAAAAAAACAAAAAAAACAACTCTCACCACACCCCAAAACACCCAGAAAACAAATCAAGAAAGGTCCTTAATGGCTAAAGCCAACAAATCATTAGGAAATGTAAAAAGAACTATAGAATTCAAAAGAGTATACCCAACATTTGCAGCCCAGTGAGCCACCGAATTGCCTTCTCTACGAACATGCGTCCAAATAACATTCATATTCTCTGTTAAGGTTTGAATCCTCTTCATCTGCATCATAATACTCCA